AAGGGCCGGAACAAAAGCATGGATGGAGTGTTTGTGTGAACTAATATAAATTCAAAGTAAACATCATTACATAAAAGGGTACGGTCTTTTTTTTCAATAGTTTTATTCATTTCAAACCACTTTCGTTTCTTTCTTTTTAAATATCTCTTTTATTGCTGAAGGGCTCCACTTGTCAATCGCCCGTGTGGCTCTACTTACTCCTCAGTTCAGAGCCGTCCCAGCTCCTCTGCCCCAGCAGCATCCTCATCCCTCGCGCCAGCTTCAGTGTCCAGGGCAGCCTCTCTGCCCACTCCTTCCTCGGAGCCGAAGCCATCAGGCCGCTCCCCGCCCGCAGAGGTCGGGCACTTCCCACCTGGGGCGGCTTTCCCTCCGCCCGCAGTGGTCTGTGTGGCAGGTGAGTTACTTATGATCACGAAGCAGACGCCTCCAGCAGAAATCTGTTAGGAGAATAACATGTCAGAGGCTGATGGATGTAAGATGCCGCTTGAAGAACCCGGTGTTACTCACAGGGGATTCTTGCCAAAGTGGCGGAGATCTAATCAAGCCCGTGGCTCTAACTCCCCGTTTACAGGAAACACAGAGGTTAGGGGAACAAGCTACATGACTTCACAAGGACATAATTAGATCAATTAAGAAAAACAGAGTATAGGACAATGGCTTTGAATCTTCAGAGAGTCAAGCCATGAAAAATGAGTTGGGAGGGCTACTGCGGACTAAAAAGAAATGACCCTATGCTATGCATACACCTAGGTTGGGTCCTGGTTCAAAACTTTAAAAAAAGAAAGAGAGAAGGAAGGGAAGGAGAGAAGGAGGGAGGAGGGAAAAGAGGAAAGAGGAAGGGAGAAGCAACAATAAAACACATTTTGGGAGACGATTGATGTATTGTGGGGCAAAGTATCAGGCATCCATAATTCATTTCGAAATGGAAGAGTCGAAGCCAAGATGGACAAATGCTAATCATTGAATTTAGGTGGTAGAGATAAGCCCTTTGTCCCATTTCTTCTGTATTGTCTAGAAGTTTTCTAAATGACAATGTGAAAGAAACAGAGCAAAGCACGGCCCTCGGTCTCAGCGTCGCCTCTCTCACTCTGCCTTCTCTGCCACCGACCCAAGAATGAAGGCTCTTGCCCTAAGTGGTTTGGCTCAGTGGATAGGGCGTCGTCGACCGGAGGACTGAAGGGTCCCAGCTTCGATTCCGGCCAAGGACATGTACCTGGGTTGCAGGCACATCCCAGTGGGGAGTGTGCAAGAGGCAGCTGATCGATGTTTCTAACTCTCTATTTCTCTCCCTTTCCTCTCCCTTCTTCTCTGTAAAAAAATCAATAAAATATATATATTTTTAAAAAAGAATGAAGGCTCTCCCTCCAGACTTGCGCCTGCTTCCCCCCTGCTGAGCGGGGCTCCTTGGGGCCAGGACGTTGGCTTATGGATTTGCCCACCGCAATGCCAGGCACGCACCAGGGCTCAGTAACAAACACTAGTCGCTTCTGCGTGCCTCAGGTGAAAGTCCGTAGTTGTATTCACTGCCCCAGCGGCTGATTGGATGAGGTGACTATTGCATCCATTTCACAGGTGGGGAGGCTGAGGCTCAAACAGGTTAAGTCACTTGCCCAGGCGATACCCCTCATAGGAGGAGGAGTCCGGTTTGACTCCAGGTCTGGCTGAGTGGAAAGCCTGGCTGTTGGGTCTGGATTGAATCTAAATACCATTAGTCTTTTCTTTCTTTTTTTAATCCTCAGCGGAGGATATTCTTTCCATTGATTTCTAGAGAGAGTGGAGAGATAGAAACATGGTTGTCTTTAAAATATATTTGTATTGATTTCAGAGAGGAAGGGAGAGAGAGACAGAAACATTAATGAGAGAGAATCATTGTTCTGCTGCCTCCTGCACGCCCCCTACTGGGGACTGAGCCCAAACCTTGGGCATGGGCCCTGAGTGGGAATCAAAACATGACCTCCTGGTTCATAGGTCGACCTCTGAGCCACACAGGCCGGCCAAGCTACACACAGTTAGTCTTTAACATCCTGATGAGGTGGGTGGGGTGACCATTCCAATTTTATGGGAGGAAAAACTGGGCCAGAGAGGGCAGGAGACACCCCCAAGGGCTGCACACCAGGCTCTGAACCCAGCACCGTATGGGCATACACTCCCTCAATCCTCACAGCCGTTCTCAACGTGGGGGTGAAGAGAGGGGGGGTCATCTGGTGGTCATGAGCTCAGACCCCAGAGCCAACTGACCGGCAAATCCAGGCTCCCGCCCCCCCACTCCTGGCTGGTGATCCTCAAGAAATTCCCTAACTGCTGCATGCCTCAGTTTCCCCATCTGTAAAAAGGACCACCAGGGCCCTGCCAGTCTGGTCCCTTCCAGTTTGCTCGCAGGCAGCATTCTCTATCCCTCAGCCCCTACCCTTTGCTTATTGCCCACGGAGGAGCTATAGGGCCCCAGGCCAGACCGAAGGGCGAGTCCAGCTCCCGGTAGGGGCTGAGGTAACCAGCAGAAGGGAAGAGAAGAGGCCCTTTGAACCTGAGCAGTCCTCCCGGGCAGGTTCCGGTTTGAGGAGCCATTCTGAGCAGCAGCTCAGGATCCCCAAGACCTGGGCCCTCTGTTTCTAAGGCAACATCCTGTGGAATCTGGCTGCCTGCCTCTCCCCTCCCACCGCCCGCCTGCAGGGGAGCCAGGGGGGCGGAGACAGAGCTGCGCGATCTCGTTAGAAAAACCAGAGCGCCTTGCGCTAGAGACACAGTGCCCGCCTGGTCCCCCGCCTCGCCTCACCTGGACCCG